AGTGGTGCACTGAGATCTCCTACCATGACTGTGTTGGTTTTTATTTGATCTTTTATGACCAGTAATTTGTTTTATAAAGCTGATTGCACCAGTATTTGGTGCATATATTTACAATTGTTACCTCTTCCTGTTGAATTATCCCCTTAAGTAACATGTAGTGATCTTTATTGTCCCTTCCAATCAGTTTTAATTTGAAGTCTACTTTGTCTGTAGATAAAATTGCTACCTCGTCTTGCTTTTAGAGTCCTAATGCATGGAATACTGTTTTCCATGCTTTCATTTTTAGTCTATAAATTTCTTTTTGGATTAGATGTCTCTTATATGCATTAAGCTATTTGGTTTTGCTTTTTGATCCAATCTTCCGGACTGTGTCTTTTAATTGGGGAGTTGAGCCCATTTACATTGAATTATTACTGAAAGATGTTGACTAATTCCTGCCATTATGTTACTTTTATGTAGTTGATTCTTTATTTTTACTGATTAAAAAGTTTAAAAATTGCTAAACCTGCTTGATGTATTCATTCTGTCAGACTTTTTGGCATCTTGATATCATTATCTCATATCCTTGAGAGTTTTTTGGAGTGCTAGTTTGGTGGACATGAATTTCTTAAGATTTTTTTGTTATGGAATGTTCTTATTTGTCCATGAATTTTGAAAGGTAATTTTGCTGGAGATATTAGTCTGGATTAAAAGTTGTTTTCTTTTAGAGCTTGTAATAATTCACTTCAGGCTCTCTGGCCTTTAAAATTTGTGTTAAGAAGTCTGCTGTAATCCTAGTAAGTTTACCTTTTTTATTTTTATTTTTTGCTTTTCTTTGACAGCTTTTAAGATTCTGTTCTTGTGTTGGGCTTCTGGGATTTTGACTATGATGTATTGTGGGGGCTTCTTTTCTCATCAGAAGTGTTTGGGGTTCTGCATGCCTCGCTTTCCTGTATATTAAATTCTTTCCCCATATTTGGAAAGTTTTCTGCTGTGATTTCTGTACACAGATTTTTTTTATTGCATGGGTGTGGTCCTCCGATGTTTCTATAACTCGAATTAGTGTTAGATTAGTCTTCTTTGTGTAATCTTGTAGCTGTTGGGTCAATTTTCCTTGCTCTATCATTATTTTTAAGATATCTCTATTTCTTAGTTACTTTCTCATTTATGGAACAAAATACCCAACACCCACAAGTTAAATGAGGAAAGGTTTAATTTAGTGCATAGTTTGAAGAGGTTTTATTCCATCCAAGGAATGGTGGCATAGCAGGTGGACATGGCAGAAAGAAACAGTTCATGGCATAGCAATAATATAAAACGGAAAAATCAAAACAGCATGAAGCAGTGAAACTTCCTTCTTTCCCTTTTTGTTCCATCCATGCTTTAAGACTACAGCTTGGTACCACCTACATGCAGGGTTGGTCTTCCCTCTTCAGTAAGTCCATCATCCACACCCAGAACTCTGCTAAACCAGTCAGCAGACTGATCCACTATTACACACTCATGATCCAGTACCACACATCCATGATCCAGTCATTCCCCAAAGCTCTACCTATGAGCACATGAGGCCTTAGGGCATGTAGATATAAGCTATTATACTTTATGTATATAGTTATCTGTGTCATTTTTGTCTTCTAGATCTGATACTTTCTTCTCACACTGGTTGCCTCTGCAGCTCAAATATTCCATAGAATTCTTTATCGCTGGAATTTCTGTTTGGCATCTTTTCATGGATTCTATTTCCTTGGTAAACTTGTCATTCATGCTCTTCTAATGTTTTACCTGATTCTTCTTTAGACATATTGATCAATTTGTTTATTAATACTACTGTTTCATTATATTATATTTGAACTCCTTAAGTTTCTTTGTTTTCTCTTTGATCATTAAACCATTTGGTTATTGGTTTTCTCTCCATTGGCACCTTTTGTATCTACCTGATGGGAGGTTGGGAATTTTTGGAAGCATTTTGTTGACTTGTTTTTTCACGTTTCTGTGTGTGTGTGTGTGTGTGTGTGTGTGCGAGCATGTGCACACATCAATGCCTGCATATACTGAAAGTTAAAGTCAAATAGAATGAAGATATTTTATTATCAGTATGAAGATCTCTTTAGTTAGGTTCTGCTTTCCAATGATGTGATCTTGGTTTTATTTATCAAGAAGTAATATATCCCATTTCAAGTGATTCAGTTTCATTGAGTTGGACATTCACTGTGTTGTAAGAAGAGAATCTCTACACGTTACAACAGCATCAACACATCCAATCATACATGAATCATGACCACTCCAACTTGTTTTGACAATTTCACCCCTGTACCAATAACCCTCACAGACTATACTGATGCTTGTAATTTGTCTCAAGTGTGGAGGACAGGAGGAAGGAAAAAGGAAGGGGGAAAGGAAGAAGCAAGTTAGTAAGAGGAGAGGGAGGTAAGAGACATGTGAATAGGTAAAAAATAGAAGGTTGGCTCTGTTGGAATTATTTTTATAGCTGGAATAAAGGGCGAGTGTGGAGAGGGTTTGAGAGAATATTTGAGGAGGGAATGCAGAGGGGTGGAAGTGTAGTTAAGGATTGAGGGATGCCTTGAGGTTGTCAGAATCTGTTAATATCTTTTACTTAGTTTTGCTTGGACCCTCTCCCATGGTTCTGTTAAAGGTTACCTGCCACGCCCTTGAATGGTATTATTTAAGTTAACGCACTGGTTAATTCTTATTTCCTTATGCACATATATAGGCATCTGTTATATATATGTCATAGCAAAGCTGCAGAGGAGCAGAGGGAAGACAAGGAGGCAAGGGAATGAGGAAGGGAGGAGAAAAAAGATTATAAAGGAAAGAAAGTCAAGAAATAAAAGAGAAAAATGACCAAAGAGAGAGAACAGGACAAAGGGGAAAAACCTTAAAAAATAAAGTAAAATAAGAAAATACTAACAAAGGAAGAAGAAACACACACACACACACACACACACACACACACGCACACCCAAGAAAACCCAGAACAAATAAACAAGCAAGGAAGTAAACAAGAAAACCTTCACACAGCTGCTTTAGCATTGACCTTGAGGGTCCACACAGCTGTCTTTACACTGCAGTCGTAGTCTGGTTGTGAGTAGCCAAGTACTTTCGCCCTGTGGACCACTCAGTTGCCTGCCCAAAGTAGCGAGGGAGACCCGCCTCCAGGCTGCAAGTCGTGCTCTGGGTGTGGCCAGCTGTAGGCCTCTACCACTGATTACCTCAGTTCACTTGGGAAGGAATGGTGGACGGCCTCATTTGCCAGCGCAGGACGGTTGGCGGTGGGCAGGACCTCAGGCCATCTGCTCTGTCTGGCTCCCCTCACAACCCTTTAGAGCCTGGAATTTGGTGCAGCAAATTTCTTTCCATTTACCCTCATGTGTCAGACTTTTAGTTCCTGTTTCAGGGTACCTGATATTTGGTGACTCTTGCTGTTACCCCCTTGGCGGTCATGATTTTTCCTATCTTCTGTTGCTATTGTTAACTTTTTCCTAGGTCTCCTACAGTCTTCTTGGCATTTTAACTCGTGTTTTGTATTACATTTTCTAATACATATTTTCGTTGTAAAGAAATCCTCTTGATTTTTCTGTTTTATATTGCCTCTAACCATTTTGTTGACTATCTCTGTAATGTTAATAGCTTGTTGAATCTCTTGGATATTTATGTTAAGGCTTTTTTTGTTAAATAAGGACATGTTTGTCTCTTCCTTTTCCAACTTTATGGTTCTCCATTACAGTGGTGCCTTGGTTCACAATTTTAATTTGTTCCATGATTATGGAAAAGATGGCTATAGTTGTGTTTGGCACCCGATAAAAAGGTTACAAACAAAAACAAAATTTTGCCAAACACTCTGCTTGTGAACCAAATTGTTTCCCAACAAAAGCATTCATGAACCAAGGTACCAGTGTACTGTTCTTATCTTAGTACATAGGTTAGAATCTTTAACACAGGATAGAACAGAAGCAATCACAGAAGGAATTCTCTTCTTGTTTCTGATTTTAATGGCAATTTATTTTAAAGTTTCAAATGATACTTTTAGTTTAGTTAAAAAGCTAAATCTTAGTTTGGTTACAGAATGTAGTACATCTTCTCCGACTTTTTGATAGGATTATCAGATATAGATATAGAATGGGCATCAGTGCCTACATCTCATGATGCCCAGCCAGGACTATTTGCATTCACTGGACACAGGTGCAACAAAGTCTTAAATGACAATTAGCAGAATGTAACATGTACAATCATACTGACTCTAATTAAAAGTGTCAACAGTGAAAAGCCCAGTAAAGCAAAGGGAAAGAGTTTTATAACCAAAATCTAATTTAACAATCATTACTATGAAATATCGAGTAGTAAAGGGTAATTAACCTTATGAAAAGAGGCAACCAAAGATAGAAGTTACAGTTGGCTGAAAGGAAGAAGTCCTTCAGATTTGGGTGTATTATAAAATCTCGTTTGTCTAAATCGCAATTGCTAAAGGAGTACGATTTTTTTTTCTGTCTTAGCAAATTCAGTTCTAATTCTATTTCTAGGTTGTTTTTCTGATTATCTCATTGATCCTGAGGAAAATTTTTTCTTACTCCTTTCCTAGAACAAACTTTTCCAGGGGGATATATTCTCTTTGGGATGATGGTATTATCCTAGGACAATCTTTTAGTATTTTTATGTATGCAGTAGTTGATTCATTCTGTCATGTACTCATCAAACACTTACTGTATGTCTACTGTGTGCGGGTATTGTGTAAGTCTCTAGACTGATAAAGACAAAGATTAGTTAGCTGTCCTTGAAACAGAGATAGTAAATCAGTGATTGCAGCGTGAGACAGGACGTGTTGTAAGAGGTGGAAGAAGAAGACAGGACTTCACAGAGGAGGGGATGACAAAGCCGTGCTTGGAAAGAGCATGACTAGGAAATTTTGGGTGGCCATGGAGGAGAGAGGGCTCCCCTTCCACGCAGAGTGGACCATCCCTACCCAGCCCTCATGAGGGCAGAGCATGGCGGGAAAGGGCGCTTACCTGAATTTGAATGTCCCTGGAGTTGATCACTTCCACAATGCCCACCACATTGTCAAACACAAGACCAAACTTCTTACAGTTATCTAGGGGGAAAGATACGTCATCACTAAATATTTGCACGTGTTTATACAAAGCAGCTCACCCTAGGGACTATAAAGCCGTACGTGTACCCTACCAATTGTAATGGAATTGATTTTCCCTTTTATCTGGAGAGTAGATCGGTCACATTTGAAAATGTAAGATACTTGTTTCAGTTCGGACTCCGAAATTACAAGGTCATTCCTGTCTTCTTGGTACTCCTAAAATGAAAAGAGATATAAATATTAAATAGAAGGATATATAGGTAAATGGAATCTTTTGCATTCTGGAATGACTATGGAGCTCAGCATGATGACAGCTTTTCGTTCTTTCAGAACCATTTCTTTACAGATAGAGCCCCAGGTCTTGTCACTGTGCACATGAAATGGATGAGACGCTGCTTGGACGGGGCTTGGGGTTAATTTGCAAACTGTCAGGTGTCGTGGGCACGCTGGCCAGTGGGTGGGGCTGGAGCACTGATCTGCTCTTGATGCTTCGTCCAACAGGAGATGGGCAAAGGGCTGGCAAAGGGTCCCAGCCGTAAGTAGTCCAAGCCCCAGAGCCTTTCCAGGCTGTGACAACCTTTCCAGGGACACTGGTTCATAATCTTTAAGGAAGCTCTCTGGGTTGACAGGGGACACCAGCTTGCATTGACATTCAAAGTGTCTTGGGTGACTCAAATTAGCCCTGAAGGTGGTGGGTGGCAGTGGCCGTGTGTGGTTACACCAGGGCCTCCATCGGTGCATCCAAGCGTAGCAGCCTTCAGCAGATTGGAGTGGGGTGCAGACTCCTCGGTCCACATGCTCACGGTTTCTGTGGCCTCTTGGTTAAAGTGTATGTCCCTTTGTAGAGTGTGACAGCACAGTGGTGCTTTCTAAGGGGAAGGAGAGGGAGAGTGATTGCTTGATTGGTACAGAGTTTTAGTTCCGCAAGATGAAAAGCGCTCTGTGGATGGATGGCGGCTATGACAGCAGAACAATGTGAAGGAACTCTATGTCACCAAAATACATACTTAAAAATGATTTATGGTGAATTTTATGTTATATATATTCTACCACAATCCAAAAAAGTAGCTTAAAAAAGTTTGAAGAATGGGAACCAGTGAAGAAAAAATTACAGAAGCATCTAGAAACGCCTTGGTTCCTATTCTAGCTAGTGCTCTCTGCCTCTTGTTATGGCACTTAGAAATCTTTAAGGCCTTGATAAATGGCTTCCACTGGTGGTCCATTTGTCAGAGGATGTCAAGAAGAAAGGCTAAACAGCCAGGCAGGCTATGACAGGGTGGCAGGGTGGCACATGCCTGTAATCTCAGCACTCTGGGAGGCTGAGGCAGGAGGATCACAAGTGTAGCCCAGTTTGAGCTGACTTGGTGAGACTGTCTCTAAATAAAATAAAATGGGCTAGGGATATAGCACAGTGTGAAGGCCCTAAATTCAATCCCTGGAACCAGAAAAAATGAAAAAGAGTCAAGGTCAAGGGAGTCCACTCACCACTCTCCATTTCTTCCCCTCCAACTCAAACACGGGAGCATGTTTCTGTGGTGAGTGAGACTTGGGAGACGTGGGGCTTGGTGTGAGGCTCTTGGTTGGAGATCGAGTCTGTCCTTGTGCCCGCAGGCTGGGATTCTTATAAGTCTTCTGATCATCTCGGACATGCCGAAGCCCTGTGAGGATCACACACGTGCACATGTTTCTTTACATTTGATGTAAAGGGAAATGTCCAGGATGTAAGATGCACAGGAGCTTTGGGTCCTGCTATTTGCACGATAATCTAGTGCTCAGGGAGAAGATGCAAAGTCTGAACCCTGCATGTGTTCAGATAAACAGAAGCAGTGGATGATTTTTAACTTGAGGAACCTTGTCTTTAAGAGATAGGATAGTAACAGTTCTGTAAAAGACAACCCCACAAACCCTCAAGCCACCTTGGCAAAAAAGATCTTAAGGTTTATTTCTTGTCTGTTGGCCAAATCATCAGCCATGGTGTCAATATTCAGAGCATTCCTGGAACTATCTAGTGTAAGATGCAGCTGACTTTAGAGGTAAGGAATCAGTTTATGTTTTTACTTTGCAAATGAATTTCAGGCAGGACAGCAGAACTTTGAGCCAATTGGGGCTGGGGATGTAACTCAGCAGCATAGCGCCTGCCTAGCAAGCGTGAGGTTGTGAGTTCGATTCCTGGGTTTGAGCCAATGCTAAAGTTAGAATTCTGTGCTCTTAACTCCCAGCCCAGTGTAGAGGGACACATACACCCTAAGTCTCCCGTGTAATGCAAAAACACATTTGCATATAGTTTCTGGCAATATGACTATTTAGACATTTAAATAATGTTTTTAAATTAGCCATTCACCATGAGGACTAAGGCAGCTCAAAGATGTAATTCTTCCACAAGCTAATATCCTTTTCAGGACAAAGGTGCTAGCATTTGCCATTTTTATTTCAACTGATCTTTTTTTTCCTCTTTGTATTGGGGGGATCGAACCCTGGACCTTCACACTGACATACATTCTCAGCCCTTTTATTTTTTATTAAAAGGTAAATGGAGGCAGGCATAAGGACGCAGGCCTATAATCCCAACACACTAGGAGGCTGAAGCAGGAGGATTGCAAGTGCAAGCGCAGCTTGGTCAACTTAGTCACTTAGCAAGACCCTGTTTCAAAATGAAACATTTTAAAAAGGATGTTCTCAAAAGAGCCCAGGCTGAGCTTAAACTCGCAATCCTCTGCCTCAGCCTCCCAGAGTGCTGGGACTGCAGGTGTGCAGCGCCATGCCCGACTTACTCCACTTGCTCTTGATGCTTTGGTTTTAGAGGATGATGCTGAGGCACTGGGTGGTACGGTGTAGTGTCTGATAAAGAACCCAGGCTCTCCGACATTCACATCTGTTCCATGTTACAGTGCACCAAGCCCGTCTGGATCAGAAGAGCACTGCAGGTGCCTGTGTTCCCAGCTGCAGTTCCCTTCCCCTGTGCGTGGGGGACAGGGGAGGAACAATGCATCCACAGCTGGAGCCCTGGGGGATCCGCGTGCTGGGGCCAGAGGGGCAGGGCGAGGCTTCCAGGTCTCGCATGCTCACCTTTGGTGATGGCTTCTCCCTGGTTCAGCTGGGCAAATAAAGCTGAGCGAGAAGGAGAGGACTCTTCTTTTCTGCCTTCATTCTCAAAAAGTGGAGGCGGCCCTGGAGGAGGCAGTGGCGGAGGGGGTGGTGGAAGGCCAGGCCCAGCAGAGAGGACAGAAAACGCAGATGCCGGGGATGCTACAGGACCCTGCGGGAGACAGGATGGGGAGCTGCACTGGGGCCCAGCCGTGGCTGGGATCGTGCTTGTGTTGTGGGACCTGCAGTCACCGAGACTCCGCAGGGGATCCCATAGGGCTCCCCTGTACATCGGGGCGGAGGACCTGGCCCAAGGGAGCACGGAGCACTGTTGGCAGAATCTGCACGTTCAGGAGGCCCCTGGCAACTCTGAGGCAAACAGAGCCATATTCACAAGTTCACATCCAACGCTCATCTCACCTTGGCCGGTTTAGAATTATAGGAAAAAAGTGATCCAAGGGGTAAGACGAGCATTTTAGGGACACTGGACACTGCAACGCTCAAGGAGAGAGATAGCGAGAAATGAAATGTATTCAATGATTACTAGTGGTTTTGAGCTTTTTTGAGCAGCTAAGAGAGAGAAACTGAAATTCTCAGGAACTCATTTTCCAAATATGCAGGCGTCAAGCTGCTGGAGACTATTGAACCTGAAGGCAGAACGGAGGGAACCGGAAGCATCTGAGGCACACTATGTGAACTGTCAGTAGACGGAAAGCCAGACTCCCCTAGGCTAACCTTTATCTTCTCTGCTATGTGAGGTACAACTTTTATCCAATATGAAGATCTCACAAATTTAGTGGCAGTCAAAGGTGACAGGCAAGAGGCAGGATTTGTTTTAATGTTTGCAAAGGACTCTATACAGGATGTTCTCAAAGAGCTTAGAACTAGGAGACAGGGGTCTGGGGATTTAGCTCAGTGGAACAGCACCTGCCTGGCAAGTGTGAGGTCGTGAGTTCGATTTCCGGTACCAGAAAAAAAGACCAAAAAAAAAAAAAAGAAAAAAACCAAAAACAACAAACTAGGACAGAAATACATGCATATACACATCAATCTTGGAACACATGTACCATTTTACTTTTTTCTTTTGGTGGCACTGAGGATTGAACCCAGAGCTTTGGCACTGAGCTATAGCTCCAGTCCTTTAAAAATTTTTTTATCTTGGGATAGGGTCTTGCTAAATGGCTAGGTTGACCAGGCTGTGCTTGAACTTGCAATCCTCCTACTTCAGCTTCCTAGAGTGCTGGCATTACAGCCTGCACCCTTATGCCTGCCTCTATTTTACTTTGAAACCTCAAAGTAGAACTGTATTACTATGATAAAAATTTATAAGCCAATTCATTTTTTTAAGTCAGGACACTAAAAAGTGAGAGTGATGGATATGTAATTCAGGCTTATATATTTTAAGTGCCAAATACAAAAGGTAAAATATTCCATTAGTACAAAATATTGATAAACTCATTATCCCCTTACTTTCATAAGAAGCTCAGTATTATAAAGTATCAAAATCAGGACATTTTAAACTATAGCTTTTTTAAAATAAGCAATTTTCAAGGTATTTATGATTCCTACTCAAGGTAGAATTATCCTGAAAATAAATGATTCTTCTCTTATTCAAAATGTCCAGTCTTAAAATCTCAGTGGGGTGGAAATTTCATCTTCTGAAGATATAATTTGCATTGTTTTGGGGTTTCTAAGGAAGGCAAGCCTGATTCTTCCATCCAGATTCTAGGGTCAAGTAGAAAAGGATTTCACAGTTCTTGAGACAGACTAGTTTTCCCTCCAGTATCTGAAATGTTTTCTATCATGTCACTGGGGCGCAGTTTGAGAGTTTGCTCTGTACCATAAAGAGCACATTATACAAGCTTTGCATATCAAGCAATATTTGAGTCCTCAGTTACAGACACCGAGAGCCACCAGGTATTACTTGCACCCCTAAGCACATAACAATTCAGGTAGCTGGTGAAGGGATAGAGCCCTCCCCCAATATCTGACACACCAAAGCTGTACACTGGAAAGGGGAGACCATCTGGCTTCTAAATCTTAGATTTCCATGGTTCCTTTGCTCTCAGAATTCAGAACTTTTCTCCAAGAGCCAGGAAGGGACCCAGAAAGAACAAACCATATGTTCAACTTTTTGGAACTTCGATACATTCAGATGGTTGACCCAGGACAACAGACGAAGGATTTACTGCAACAAATGTTGAAAATAAAAGTCAAACAACAACAATAACAACAACAAAAGGGCACTCGGGACCCACAGAAACTCTGCCTTGCCTTAGACTTGGCCTTTTTTGCATCCCAGCTCATTCCCGTATTGCCCTGTAAGAGCATAATGCCAGGCTCTGGTTTCCAAGGTTACTTTTCAATTAGCATTCAGGGGTGGAACTGAACAGGGACTCAAAGTCAAACTGAGTAGACTTTCCCTTAGCTGGATCTCGTGGCCGGCCCTGCAGAGGAACTTACGTTTACCTTTCCCCTGTCCTCTCTCTGTAGGACATTACAGCTCTCAATGCCAGGGCTTTCTATGTTCTGCTCTCACATATAATCCTGCTGCAATCCCGGCCTGACACAGAGTCTTCAGGTGTCCCAGTAAAAAAACAGAGGGAAAGAAATGTCCAGGAAGGGAAAGGATCCACAAACTGTGGAAAGTCTGGTATGTGCCAGGCACTATGTTCATTCATTCAACAGATACCTTCCATGAGACTCCTCCTGAGATGAACTTTAATGACAACAATATGACTAGAAATGTACCGAAACACCTCTAGCAGAAAATAAGACAAGAAATCAGAAAGGCAGTTAAAATCTACAATAAACTATCAGTCAAGAGCAAAGGCATAATTTGAGCACATATCTGCTTGATTTTTGAACCCTTCTTCAAAGAAATTCTTTATGCTACATTTAAGATCTTTAAAAAAATCACTAGTCTGAGGTCAGAAGTATGGATTCCCTTGACACATACATACTATTGTGCTTGCGCCTTGGGTTAGAATATGTGTGACTGAGGTAGTGGGGCAGAATAACCTTGGTTTAGTCTTTGTCTCCACGAATCCTCACTCTTAACGCTTTAGCAGCTGATCCAGATCCTACAGTCAACTCTGGATGAGGTCCCATCCTCTGGGTGGATAAGATCTCTTGGGCTTTGACACTGACATCTTAGCATCAAACGCATCTCATCCTTGATGCTGAATTTGTTGTGAGTTGGTTCCCTTCTAGAAACTGGCTTCTTGCCTCAATTCATTTTTCCTAAATACCCACTGGTTCCAGTAATGGGATACTTGTATCCAAGTCCTGGCTCTCCATCTAGTGATCAAGTTGTCGAGGGCACTGCCCAGCAGGGTTTTTTGAAAGGTAGGCATCAGGGCAGAGGGAATGCACCAGCTTGACTACACTGAGTGGTAGGAGTACACAGATACAGGGGTGGAGCCCCAGGTGCCCACTGAGTGGGCCCCTCCTTGTAACGCAACTGAGGCTACAGGTCCCATGGGAAAATGGGGTTCTGAGGATTGGGGGTGCCGGATGGGGTCGAGTTTCCATCCTTCACAATGGGAGTTAGGTTTATCCAGAGACACTGAAGGGTAAACTCCCTGGTAGACAGACCTGTCAGGAGGAGTATTCTGGACCAACAGTTGCTGCCCTGGATCCTGAAGGAGATGGTGCTTCATGAGGCTCCCTCCCTTGCTGTGGACCCCAGAAGTCACAAGAAACCACCGCATCAACCTGCAGACCACAGGGGCTTCTCTGCAGCCAGGCTTCCAGTCAGAGGTGCATGTACAGAAGCATCACTTGCAAATGATCTCACTATCTCTGGTCCCTTTCAAAGAAGGCCTTTCTCAACCGATTTTTTTTACAAGATGTCTTCCCCTAGCAGTTACTGTCATTTTATTGCCACAGTATAGACTCATACAGCATGGTGCTCAGGACATAGGAGGGTGACACCATGTGACTTGCCAAGGTCATGTGACAGGCAAGTGATGTTGAGCCAGGGAGGGAAATCAAGGGAGAAAGACTTAACCATAGCCAAGCGGCAGTGACCCCCTCACAAACGCCTTTGAAGAAAATTCTTTATCATGCTGATAAAACGAATCTTTTTGGTATCTTAGAGACCCAGACTGGGAGCAATTGAAAAAGACATTCTATTCAAGTCATGTAACAGTAGTGTGCAATTTAGAAGTAAGAAAAACAGCACATTTATGATTTTAAATGGCCATATTTGCAGGGCAAAAGTTCACTTACATTGCAAGAACACAGCACAAAGCCTAAAAATGTTGCTTTTAAGGTCTATTAAGATTAATTTTGAGAGCAGATGCTTGATTATATACTTTTTTTCCCCCTGGTACAAAGACTTTTTAAAAAGTTAATGTATTGCAAATCCCCTTCTCTAACCTAATTTCACTGTCCAGGGAACAGCTGCTTCTTCTGTTTTTGAATATGAACTGTAGCTATAAAATAATGAAAGCATTGTAAGCAATACATGAACCATTTAAAAGTTTTTGGTTATATACACTCTATATAATAGCAGCCATGCTATATGTACTATAGTTGTGTACCAATGTGCCCTGTAATTTGTTTTCACTCCGTACAATAATCTGTCATTATTTCATTACTTTAGAATTTTGATTTTATTATGAAAGGGAAATTACTTATAATTCCTAAATGGAATCTTAATCTTGCCTTGATGGGGGTAGTTATATATATGATGAGCAGTCCACATTAACCCACCCACCACAAACACTGTTGTCTTAATTATCCAGTTAATTCGGGTACAGTCTAAATTTGGATCTTAGTAAGCCAGAAAAATCACTCCAACTCTTTGGTTGAGTTGGTAGAAGGTAGGACGAACAGGGAACTTGTAGGTGGGGTCAGGGTGCCGGAGAGGGGCTGCAGTGCTTTAGGCCTGGGCTGCACAGTGGCTGCTTTGTAGACCTGTATCCTAAAAGGAGAGATTGAGGACTTAAGCAAGGGAGAAGTACATACGACAGCATTGCTCTCTAATGTCAAGAATGGTCAGGCAACCAGTGTCTTGGCTAGTGCTTTTACTAAGTTTTAAGAAGCAGAGACCAAAAAAATAAAGATACCCTGTGATAATTTCTTGGAAGAGATGGATTATGTTGCTTACAACAGAACTTTAGTTAAAATGTCCCATCTATAACACTTGCTTAGTGATAGTAATAT